GGCCTGTTTCCACAATCAAAAGGAAGCTTTAAGACAGGGATTATGAGGTACACTGTTCGCAACAGCTGATATACTTTTGAATGCCAAGCTTTGCTTTTCTGATTTCTACTTTTATCAAACAAGAGCTTTATCCTTATACTTAAATAGTGTAAAGCAAAGTCGAGTTTTTTTTGGACACGCTAATCTCGAAAAGTGTTGAACGGATTTTGACGAGATCTTAGACTTAGACTTAGACTTAGGGTTGCCACCTGTCTAAAAAATTATAATACCGTTCGTTGGTTTACAGAAACTGAGGTGTGAAATGAAAGGGTTTGGCCTTTAGATGTTCTATAATGCATTATTTTTTTAGTAGGATTGCCACCATTTTAGAAATTAAAAGATTTTCACTGTTCTCTGGAATAAAAAAAAATTATGTATCAATAAGCTTTTTTTTGAAGGGGTTGCCACCAATTTAAAAATTACTACCTTACCTTATAATAGGTAAAGATATTTTTTATTAATGACAGCAGATTTGTACAATTCATTCAATTTAAAAAATAAAGGTGCCTTCATATGTGCTTTATTTTTTGGAATAGAGTTGCCACCTGTGCGCAAAATTATAGCATGTGGACTGTTTTTTGTATTAAAAAAGTGAGGTGTCAAATTAAAGCGCTTGGCCTCTGGATGTTCAATCGTGCATTATTTTTTAGTATGGTTGCCATCTGTTTAAAATTTATATGATCTGCACCTTTCGTTGAATTAAAAAGGTGTGTACTTATTAAATTATTATTTATTAAACTACCTTTACATCTGATTTCTTTCTCCAAATGCGTGCATGTACATACCGGTGCCGCTCAATTAAAGTAGCTTTACTGACTTAGAAGGACTTTGCTTTAAAAAATAATCAGTTTCCCATGAAAAATTGTGTATATTTGTATCAAGCTTTTATTAAAAGGCCATCTTAAGCTACAACTATGGCTAGCTATTCGTTAAGATATTGTTTGGGAACCTAATTACCGTATTATACGCATTCAGCATACGAGGTCGGCTTGAAAATTATAATGCGGTCGGTTTACCGTGAGTGGCGTGCTAAGACAGCTTCAACTTTTTTTCAAATGTCCTTTTGCAGATGCAGGTGTTCGCTCCTCGATGTTCCGCCTCCGTGTTAGTTACAAGCCAAGGGCAATAGTATTTAAGTTTTTATTCTCAGATCAAATATCCAGGTTAGTTCCATCTTGCCTTGGTAAAGAAAATTCTGGAACCATTGTTTTCCTCGTTAACGAAACAAGTCCAATTTTAGAAGGGTTAAAACCGACCAAATTTCACTTTGACTCTCTGGAAACACTATCTACCCAGTGTTGATTCTATTACCTCATTAATTGTTGAATTCGCCGTGTAAGATTCATATTTGTATATTCGAAGAGTTTTTTCATGGAACCATTAATCGCCAACTTATTCACGATTAATTGAAATTTGAACAATTTGCTTACAAAAGCCATTTAAAATAGTATGCCGATCAAATTTGATTAGGTAGTAATTACTTTTAGTTGATCTTTTTCACGAACTCATTAGATACGTCTGTATATAATTATCTCAGTATATGTATGTATGTACATAATTTAATGTATTTATATATATATATATATATGTGTGTAGTATGAAAACGCTTGAGCAATGACGTTTATATTGCTTACTCACAACATTTAAGAAGCAGCTGAAACTCTCAGTGCTCACTCACCGCTCAAGATGCTAAACGGCCCCAATATTAGTTACGAAATTAGCTTAGAACTAGTCGCTTTTGATTTGTAGTTGGTAAATTAAAAAGTTCCTAGTACATTTTAAGCGCTATCGTCAACTTTTAGCTTAATAAGTTGTCATGTAAATTTGTAGTAAGATATTATACGTACATATTTTTCCTAGTATCCAGCTTTGGCGCTTATGAAATTCTGCTTACAAACAAACCGAAAGGTGTCATTATTTTCTTATCATAACAAATACCACGCAAAACCTTCTATAGAAAACTAAAATATGTATTACAAAGTACTTTATTTCTATACATACTACATATATAACTATGTATACTAGTTTATCTTTTTGAGTTTCTTTGTAACAAAACCTGCCAGTATTGAAAAAATACCTTATGGTACAAAAATATTTTCTCAGTAAATCGTTTTCAAATTACGCAGGAAAATACAAAGCACGGTTTCAAGCAGAGACCCAGAATAATAATTATTTCATGGTGGAGTTTTAAAAAAGTCATCCAAATTTTCGTTAGATGTTTAAAAGTCTTTTGATAATAATTATGGTGAGAAAATTTTTTTAAGGCATCGATAACTATTATTTTAAAACTTATATATTTAATAGAATCCTTTTCATAATAATTATCAGCGAGATAAATATTTTTAAGTCTTCAATGACTTTTATTTTGAGAATTATATTATAAAGAAGACTTAAAAATATTTATCTCTCTGATAATTGTTATGAAAGGACTTTTGTAATATAAGTCCTCGAGTAATAATTACAGATGACTCGAAAAATATTTATCTTTAAATAATGATTATTGATTGACTTTTATTCTTTTCTCTTATATTAGTTATGTCTCGGGTTTCAAGTGTTCTGTTGCCTTTTTTCTTATTCTACGTACAACGTACCTGTATTCTTTTTGTTCTTCTTTTTGTTGAAATTTTCTACTTCAGTATTTGTTTAGGTTAGGGTAAAGTGCTAAAGTTTGTCAAACTGAAATTCCGCGGAATTATACAAAGTTCCAATATTAGCAGCATTGTGCTAGCACACAAAACAAACAAATTTATCGAAAGCTTTGTATAAGCATATACCATTGACTGAAAAGCTTTTAGAAATAGGTAAGTTACAAAAATTCATTTATTCGCAGCATATTTTTCGGCTGAGAAATCGAGTTCAATTATAAATACATTGCGCATACATAAGTGTACGTTAGGGTGGTCCAAAATATGCAAAAAATTTTGCTTTTTGAATTTGCTTGCCGTCAGCCCCAGGACAGCATCACCATTTGATTGATTAAAGAATTCTGAAGGGTAATATTTTTATTCGATCAAAAATATTTAATTTAGCGATTTTACAGCAACCATACGAAAAAATGTATCTTCCCCATAGGAAACATATCGAAAACTTCAACGCCCCTGCGCACAATGAGCGGAAAATTTTATATTTGTGATGATCATATTTACTATTACTTACGGTAACCATCCTGTCCTGTTTTATGTTATTATGGCGGTTAGGGCTCGATATCTGTGAAGTTTCAAAAGTTTACCACGAAATTAAAAAATGGCAGCTTGCAGAATATCGGTCGCAGCTATTTATTTTGTAATTTTTGAAAATTCACGATTTCTTCAGTTTTAATGGTTTTAGATATATATGTATGTATGTACTTCAAAATGTTAAAATTACATGCTGAACATATTTTCTTGCCAAAGCGAACGAATCTAGTGTGTCACCAAGTGAAAAAAAATTTACATTGAGTAAAAGATGATAGTAATTTGAGAGACTAAAATTCCATTTTTACAATTTTTATTGGCAAACTCGAAATTCATTCTACAATCGTTATACAAGTGAAGAAAGTAAGTAATATATTTGTGCATAAGGAATACTGTGTAAAAATATCCCGCGCCAATATTCAATTACTTTTAAATAATATGATTTTTAGGTTAAGGCGTGCGAGTAAACGTGTTAGATGATTCCTTATGGTGCTACGGCAGCGGCATTGCAAAGCCCTGCCTAAATGAGGTACATATGTACATGCATAGTCTATGAATCCTTGTCGTCAAGCCTGTCAGTCTGAGGCGGCGTGGGCGTTAAACATGGCACCAGAATAGAGTGTCTCTTCTTTTCTAGGCGCGTTCTTTTGTGTATTTATTTTTGACAAAAAAAATATTCAGCACGATGCACTAAGCTTGTTGCCTGGATACTTTTCTAGTGCCATCTCCAGAAAAACTCCCTTTAGCTGGATCCATATGCTGCAAGAATCCCTCCCCCCCCCTTATCGCAGGTTAATTCGAAGGAAGGATTCTCTGTCATATGCTACAGAAATATGTTTCTACCAAGTTCTAGGAAAAGGCCTTAGAAATGAGCTTGGCCAGCTTATTGGTATGATTAATTTTAGCAATTATAAGGGAATAGCTCACCAATGGTTTAAAGATTACCTGGTTTTCCACAGAAAAAAAACGAGTTTTGGTTTTGTTTTTTATATTTAAATACATTTTGTTTTTATTAAATCGAAGAAAATTGTATTCCCTCAAATCTAAATAAACAATTTTACATTTTTCATGTATTATAATAGTAAAAATTAAATAAAAACTAGTAACTAAAAATAAAAAAATTTCAAAAGTGGAACAAAGTAGAATAAAGGAAACAAATACGTCGAATAATAATTAGCCAAGCATAAAAAACAACATTTCACATTACAGCAATTGACTTGGTATAAAAAAAAAAATCGGCTCAAAAACTGTACTTAAAACTGATCTAAGCATTGCCGATAGCCGGCGAATACCTACAAACGAAAATACAATTGAATGTCTTTATAGTTTTGCTTGCAGCGCTCAATGCTAAAAAAAAATAGTGTGAAGTAGGCTAAAAATGTAGCTTATTAATATAAGGATATATCAATGAACTAGAGGAACACGCCTCATACATTCCTAACTGGCTTCATTTTACAATAGATATATAAATACACAGATAGTAGAAGAGCGTTACATATAAAAAGCATTATTTTAGCAAACGAAAAAAAAACAATTCAACAATTTTTTTTTTTAACATTTTCATAAAATGAGTACACACTTTTAATTAACGGTTCGAGAGAGAACGAGAGAGAGAGAGAGGAAGGAATTGTTATACTATAATTTACATAGTTAAAATAGTACATTATATGCTAAGAGTATTTTTTGCGACTTTATTTCTTCATTGAAATTTCTCTCTTTCTCTCTTACGGTCCTCTTTAAACATGTTTCCGCTGTCTCTTACAATAGTGCATAATATTAAATTTTTTCTTTTTTTTTTTAACATCGTAAAGACATGAACACAAAAGCGGCAACTGGATATCGGGAGCAGGATTGGAATTAGGAACAGGATATACTCGGTACGTCGGCGTTAGGATAAGGATTCCGGATGTTTGAGGATTGACGATCGATTGCCGTAAGGATGTGGAAACCATTTGTGTTGGACAGGATTGCGATAAGGATGCGGGAGTTATCACTGCACTAGGATGCTGGTAAGGAAGTGAAACAGCTGCCAAATACGCTTGCACGATCGGTAGCAGGAACACGTACACAACTATCGAAATGCTTTCAACAGCATTTGTATTGACGGTTGAGCAAAAAGAAACAAGCGTATTTCGGGTGTACAGGATGGGACGGGACGGGAACAGGAACAGGAACGGGAACAGGAACGGGAACAGGAACGGGAACGGAACGTTGGTGGCTGTCGTGTTGTTGACGTTGTTTTTTTATGTATATAAAATTTTTAACGGACGACGTTGATTTCATTCATGTATATCCTCAGATATCTTGTTAATGTCATCCTTGATTTGAATAAAATTTCTTGCATGATTTATATGGAGATGACAATTTTTTTTATTCGTATCGTCGTCGTTCTGTTCGTTATGTTAACGTCACTGTGTCGTTTTAGTCTTTCTTTTCCACTTCGACCACTGTTTCGGTTGGCGTTTCGATCTTCTCACTCTTCTCGATTTTAACTTCTTCCTGCGCCGCCGATTCGCCAACCTTGGCTGCTGTCGACGTCACCGGCGTCGCTGCCGCCTCAACAAGGTCACTTTTATTGTTATCTCCTTTTACCGCTGTTTTCGTCTCTTTTTCTGCGCTCTTACTCACTTCCTTTTCATCGTCCTTCTCTACCGCCTTTAACGCTTCGATATCTAATGCTTCCGTCGCTTTCGCCACAAGCGTCTCCTTTTCACTATCATCGCTCGATTTCGCACTAGCAGCACTCTCTTTCTCACCCACGTCCGTTGCCGTTGCATTCAGTCCTTCCGTTGCGTCAATGTCACGTTTCTTATGGAACTTATCTGGTATGTTCTGTGTACAGGAGCATGGGCACATGCACTGATCTTTGCGTGCGCCACCCGTAATCTGGCTGAAGCTGAACGGTATGGGCGCCGGCTGCACACCCAATGGGAAGGGATCGACATTTTGTTGTTGATATCTGTCATTCGCGTGTATGGCATTGTTGTTGTCGCATTGCTCATAAGCCGATTGTGGCAAAATAATTACCGGCATGAATGCTATAATTGCACCTTTGGGTATATTTTCCGGTGCATAGGATGCTGCATAACCGGGCGCTTGTGGAAAGACTGGTAATTGTTGTAACAGTGACATTGCGTTGGTTATACCACCAAAGCTGGCTTGACCGCCTGCAATTGTTGTGGTTTGGAACTGTTGTTGATGACTAAATTGATTACTATTCGACGCCGGTTTACCAAAGGAAGTGGTTGTGGTTTGTTGTTGTTTGGATGAATGTATTCTATCTGCTTCGCAGGAACACTGTCGTTCGTTATTCAGTTCTGTTGGTGGAAAAGTGGGGCGTGGCGTTTGGTAGTTGGTATTCGTATTGGTCACAACATTTCGCTCCGGTTGTCGATTGGTCTCGTATTTGGTGGTCACTTTTTCAACAACTTTCTGACCGGTCTGATAACCGGGCACTCGGCCGTCGTTTATTGTAGTAGTGATTTTTTCGACTACTTTATCGTTAACTTTCTGTCCATTATAGAAACCGGGAATTTGTCCAAATGTATTTGTACCAGTCGTTGTGGTAGTTATTTTCTGACCAATTTGGTATCCCGGAGTTTGGCTGACGCTACCAGAGCCACCGCCTCCAATGTTGCTGTTGAACTTCTGTCCCGTGTTTGTGTATGTATTCTTATTGGTATCAAAAGTGCTTGTTGTTGTTGTTACCTTTTCCACCGTCTTTTGGTTTTGTTGCTGGTACGCGTTCGTGTCAAAGTTTTGTCCGTATTTATTGCCGTTGTTTGTATTTGTATTTGTCGTAGTTGTTGTAGTTATAGTCTTGTGCGGTTGTTGCTTCTCAACCGAGCTTTGCTGTCGGTTGAAAGTATCCGTTAAAGGTCCGCGATTCGGTGGTAAGTATTTATTGGTTTGTTGATAAGATGTTGGCGGATTATTCGTATTCGTATTGGTATTCGTGTTGGTCGTAGTAGTGGTGGTGGTGGTGGTGGTGAGTTTTTTGGGAGGAGAGGGGGGAGAAGAAGGAGGAATATAGGTTAATGGAGTTTTAACATTATTGCTATTATTATTAAATTGTGTATTAGTATTAGTATTGGTGCTAGTAGTGGTTGTGGTGACCTTCTTTTGTGCATAATCATTATTGTTACCATAATTTGGCACAAAAGATGTAGTGGTGGTTTGTGTGGTTTTCGTGGGTATCTCACCACCTTCTACAACTAATGATGATGATTTAAATGGTTGCGTTATTTTACCAGTTTTCGAGACAGGTGGCAAGTAGCCGGGTGTATTCTTATTCGAATCCCTTGGATCACTTGGTGCGCCAGGTCTCAATGGTTGGTATGGTGATTGTGGTCCGGGTTGGCCTGGACGATCGGGTCCTGGTGGTCCTGGTGGTCCTGGTGGGCCGGGACGTGTTGGGCCGTATGGTCCTGCTACGCCTGGGCGAGATGGGCCTGGTGGTCCAGGTGGACCGCCTGGACCGGGACGTGTGGGTCCGGGTGGACCGCCTGGACCGCCTGGACCGGGACGTGTGGGTCCGGGTGGGCCTGGTGGTCCGGGTGGGCCGCCTGGGCCGGGACGAGTTGGGCCGGGTGGACCGGGTGGGCCGAATGGTCCCTTAGGGCCGGGTCCAGTAGGGCCGAATGGTCCTAATTTTATAGAAAATAAAAGGGAAATTAGTAAACATAATTTAGTTAAACTAAGAACATAAATGCTTGAATCGTTTTTGCAATCGATTCACTTTAACCACCTGGTGGTCCTGGTGGACCAGGTGGGCCGGGTGGTCCCTTTGGGCCGCCAGGTCCCTTCGGACCGCCGGGTCCCTTAGGTCCGCCTGGGCCGCCTGGTCCGACACCGCCGCCATCGCCTCTGCCGCCAACGCCGCCAAAGCCGCCGTTACCGCCGAAGCCGCCGTCGGGTCCCTCTATATGCACATATGGTGGAGCTGGTGGACCAGTTGGACCTTCAATGTGAACATATTTTCCCGAATTGTCCGGGACATATTGACCTTCTTTAATACCTATAGCGAGCGCAGAAGAGATTGCGTCGAGGAGAGAGAGAGGGAGAGACGGGTGGCGAATTAGGAAAATTTCATGAAAGCGTAAAGCAAAGTTAACTCACCTTTATAACGACCATCAAAACCTTCATAATTACCATTTTCTGTAGAAAGGAATAGAGAAATTTTGTGGAAAAAAAATAAAATATTAGTGATGTGCACAAATTGTTGTGAATAAGAGGTGTAAATATTGCTGAGAGCACTACGACAAAGTAATACTACATACATATAGGCATGTAAGGTACTAGTATACGATTTAGAAAAGACAAAACTACAACTAAAGCTACGAAGTTCGTTTGGAGTACGACAAATCATACTTCTACTTATTACCTACCTAAATGAACTAATTGCATTATTGTTTATAAATAACTCAATTTAAATTTGGTTTTTTTAATTTTTCACTATTTCTTACTTTTATTTTATTTTATTTTTTTCTATTCTACTTTATTAGTGTTAGCAACTACAAGCTGTAAGCGCCTGCTACCGTTAAAGCTCAAAAAAAGTTTAAATATCCATTTAAATTATGTTTTTAGTGAAACGTGTATGCATGTGTGTGTATGTATGTGTGTGTTTTCTTTTTTTTCAAATTTAACTTGGTTAGTCAACACTACTATACATTTACAGAGCTACAGACATTAAATGAAAAGCTTAAAAATAATTAATAATAAATCAGCACACACAGTACTTCATATGTGTTCGTATGTATGTGTGTATGTATGTAAAACAAGTTCATCATGTCCCGTTATCTCGTTGCAGCAGTATGGACATGCAAAATTGTCTGCTCAGACTATAAGTTTGAAGCGGTTTAAATAAGTATTTAATAGGATTAATTTAGGCAAAAGGATGAAAGCCATTTCCCGTTAACAAGCAGGCGTTGGTGAGTGTGTGAGTAGACTCATAGGTATGCATGTATGAATGTAATATGTGCTTGTATGTATGAGCATTTGATGCATGTATTTGTGCTTTTTGTAAATGAAAAGTGCAATTTTTTATTTCATGTGAAAAACTATCCGAAAATTTTTGATTCATTTGATGCATGTGGCGTTTGAGTGTGTGGTACCGAAATTGAGATATTGTGGCATTCCTCTCGGCTGGTTGGCTGGATGAATTTCCTGCTTTTCATGTGGCCAAATTTTTTTTTATTTTTTATTTTTTATTTTTTTGAGAAACACCGGGCCAATAGATGCTGTTGTTGTTTTTTGTGGTATTTTAAAGCTGATTGATGGTGGAGAATTTTTTTGCATGCGCGCTTCAGTGCTCGATTAAAGGAAAAGCGCAAAGTTCTGTGTGGCCGTATAATTCTCTTCAACTTTTAATTTTTTATAATTTATATATCAGAAAAAAAATTTATTTTGTGCCTCCAAAAAGTCATGTGAATGGTAAAATGACGGCGGCATCGAATTGAAAATGGGAAAAAAAATATTTTTTTTTTCAAACATATGTATGCGAATAGCCTTAAATGCATAATTATGTGTGCATGTGCTGTTAAAAGAAAAAACTCGTTCTTTGTTGATTTAACGCAGAGTAGGTAAGGCCTGTTGTGCCTATAACATATACTTCTTCTTTTTTATTGGCGCTATGACAGCCTAAGCGATTTTGGCCGAGCCCAAAGCAGCACGCCAGTCGTTTCACAAAACTCATTAAATTAACTCGGTTACTAATTTTTATTATTTCAAGTTCAGTTACCGATTTTTCAAAAAAAAAAAAAAACTACATATAACTTTAACGATTTGCGCTTAATGAGTGTGCACTAGTAAATATACACATACATAACAATTTAAGTAGTGTGCGTGTGTGTTTTCATTGCCATGTATGTAAAAATATATAAAATAAATAGTTACATATGTTTTTTTTTGTTTTTTTGATATGTATGTAGTAGACGAGTATATATGTGTATATATATATTGTGCTATGCATGTGTTTGTGTGCTGGTGCGCTTATGCAAAAAATAAACTCGCATTAAATACCTCCCGCATTATCGCAAAAAATCATTTAATAAAAAAATAAGTAAAAAAAAATCAACACAAAATATTATTATGCCTTAAGTAAACGTAAAAGCTCTTAAAGCTAACCTAAAGCTTAGTAAGCTTATACTGAGTGAAAGGTACAGAGAGAGAGAGAGAGAGAGAGAGAGAGAAACATTGAAAACGAACACTGAGAAGATGTGCATTATTAAAGAAGAACGCGTATATGCCAATCGATACTTTACTGCTGCTTAATATATTTTTCTATTTAACAATTAAAGCTTTCATAAAAATGTGAAAGCTAACCACATGCACAGCACAGCATGATTTTCAAAATGATTCATGAGAATCCGTTTGAATTGCTTTTTAAACTTAAAAAGTAAAATCATATATTTGCTTAGCTTTCGCCGAAAGCACAAAAAAGCTCGCAAAAACAGACTTTTTACAAAAAGCTACAGTTTTTAGCTATTTTTATATACACAAAACAAATTCAACGCTGTGAAAGCAGCAGAAACATGATTACGCATATAGCCTTCCCCTATCTCGCCTATCCTTACCTATCCTTCTTCTACTTCAACCTATACTTATAACCAGTACAAATTTATAGCCTACTTTTCCCTATTTCTTGCTTCACAGCTTTGATAGTTTCATACTTGTGCAAGCTAACCTGCTCCATCCGGACCCCCAGGAGAGCCGGTGTGTACGTATGCCAATGCACCCGGCCCTCCTGGGCCGCCCGGACCTACTCCTCCAAGCGGTCCGGGCCTGTAAGCTCCTCCTCTATCGCCATCTCCGCTGCCAGCGGCTCCACCGCCGCTTCCTCTGCCTCCATTATCGTTGCCTCTGCCATCAGCGCCTGCGCCTCCACCTAAGCCCGACGATCCGCTGGAATATTGGCCACCTAAGTTCGACGATCCGCCAGTATATTGGCCACCTGAAATCGATGATCCGCTAGGATATTGGCCACCTGAACTCGATGATCCGCTGGGATATTTACCATCTGAACTCGACGATCCGCTAGGATATTTACCATCTGAACTCGACGAACCACTAGGATATTTACTACCTGAGCTCGACGTACCGCTAGGATATTGGCCACCTGAGCCCGACGATCCGCTAGGATATTGGCTACCTGAGCCCGATGATCCGCTAGGATATTGGCCACCTGAGCCCGATGATCCACTAGGATATTGGCCGCCTCCATATTTGTCACTGTTTCCGCCGCTATATGGTGCATTTCCACCATTATTCTGGCCGTTCTCGCCATTGTATTGGCCACTTCCACTATCATATGGTTCGATACCAGCAATATTTGGGCCGGTGGCAGGAATATTTGGACCGCTGCCGCTATTATATTGTCCATTACCACCATAATATTTACCGTCGCCATTATCACCAGGATAAGGACCATTGGTGCCGGGTCGCACAGTGGCCACAACATGCGCTGAAGGTGCTGGTATGCGCTCACGATCGGCATAACGTGATGGACTGAGTATGGCTGAACCTTTTTGTACGCCTGCTGCGTTAGAAAGTGAGAAGCCTGGCGTAAAACCACTGGGCTTACTCTTCTGCAATAGGGAGTAGTAGGTAAGGGAAGTGGTATAGAGTTGTGATAAAAATGAAAACAAAATCTCTCAATCGAACGTACATCACCGAAATGTAATACTGGAAATTCTGGTCGTGCGCCACCCTCGAACTTGCCGCAGCCTATGGGGAAGTATAGCTCATCCCATTGCAAAATCACACCATGGCCCCCCTCGCCATACACCGGATACACCTCGACCGGTTTCTTTGGTTCAACGGTACGATAACCGTGTGTATCGGCAACATAATGTGTTGCACGTAATACGTGATTGGGATCAACGTAACCATAACAACCATAGGTAACGCCGTCGGGACCGCGGGTCTCGTGATGAAAGTTGCCCGTCTTACCGATATCATAGCCATAACGGTAAGCATCTTAGGAGTGCCAAAGGTGAGTATGTTGTTGTGGTTTTGTTTATTTTTTTTGCGTGGTGGGATTTCACAAAAACGGATTGTGGTGGAACGGATGTTGTTTTTGGGGTTGTAGTGGTTGTTAAGGTAATAAATAAGGGTTTTTAAATTTGGTAAGGTAAAAATTTACATTCAGTTGAAAATTACATAAAATGCTTGTTGCTTTGTATTAAAATATATTGCGATTTTATAGCAAAATTTTAGAATATTGATGTACAATTTTTTTTTATTTTTTTGGTTTGCTCTCGATCATTTTAACATTGGCAATTCCTTTCGTTCCTTACATGAAATATTCCTAAATATGTATGTGCAACTTGAAATGATTTTTACCTGAATAGTCTTTTTTTTTTAATGCGCAGCTATTCAAAAAATCGAATTTCCAAAAACAAAAAAAAAAATATTATAATAAATAACGCTGGCCTTTGGTTTAGAATCTGTAAGTCAGCGTTTAATACATTTCGGAGCCACACTAGTACGAGTGAATGCAGTGAATAGGATGACAAGGTATGGATGCGGATGTGGATGTGGATATGGCTATGGGAGAGGGAATTATGGATGTAAGGGTATTGGGGAAAGGGACGGTGACATTTATTTACTTTTGTAGGTTGATAGAGCTTAACAAAAAATCATTTTTATGTGAAAGCTTACATTACATTCATGAAAGCTTAAAAAACCTCTCATCATTTTAGTTAACAGTGGGAAAGCTTCGAAGTTTTCATCAAAGAAAGTATCTTTTTTCTAATTAAAACTTAAATTCTTTTTCCGAAAGCTTAAGAAAGCGCTCGTAATTTATGGTATGACTGTAAAATTCTTCTAGGTAATCATCCAATCAGAGTTTTTGTTATCAGGAGAGCTTACAACATTTTCATGAAAGCTGCAAAAAGCTCTCGTTGTTCGAGGTGGGAGCATGAAAGCTTCGAAGCTTCCAACAACAAAAGTTTCTTTTTTTTCGTGAATACTCAAATAATTTACGTGAAAGCTTAAAAAAGCTCGCGCCATTTGTGTTATGAGTGTGAAAGCTTCGAAGTTTTTATTGCCAAAAAAAAATAAAAATTGTGAAAGCTAAAACTTTTTTTCAGCAATGCTTAAAAAATTTGTCTTTGTTTGAAGTATGTAAGTGAAAGCTCTGAAAGTTCGAAAAAAAACTTTAGGTATGTGAAAGCTTTAGAGCGTTAATCGCTATAAAACCAGCTAAAATTGTCTAGAAGAGAACTTGAAGGATGTGAATATTTTGAACATTTTGAAAGCTTTCGAGGAAAGTATTATGTTTTAGGTTTCTTTACGCTTTTTTAGAGCTTTGTCATAACTCTGTATTCCAGCGCGAAATGCTGTAAATATTTTTCAACTTACTTGATTTAAAGAGATTAAGTTAATGATTAGGTGAAGTTTTTTATAAGCAAAACCAAACAATTGTCCTCTACTACAAACGAAATTCAATATACTATTTTACATATATGCATAAATCAATAATGGTGTGATGTAGTGGACAAGTGGAGGGAAATGGAGTGGAGCAGCGTGGATTTGATTTGAATTGAGTTGAGTCGAGTTGGTGTGGTGTGTGTCGGTACGAAAATATTTACAATTTGAGACGAGTTTGGTTGACGAATTTTGTTTATTTCGATATATTACTAAATAAATGTAGATAGATATATTTGATATTTTTTGTGTGCGTTTGGGCTTTGTTGGTTTTAACTACGTTTACGCATACTTCTTGATTATATATTTAGCGTTTTAGTAAAAAGCTACAACAAAATTAACAAGGTAAATGGAAAATATGTATGTATGCAAATTTGTTTATCGCTTGAGTAGTTTATAATTTAACTAACGGATTGTCTTGAAGTATTTA